GCTGGGCGCTGCCCAGACCCCGGCCGAGATTGGGGTCCCGTCGCGCCGGGCGCTGCCCAGACCCCAGCCGAGATCGGGGTCCCCCATAGCGCCGGGCGCTGCACAGACCCCGGCCGAGATCAGGGCCCCATCGCGCCGGGCGCCGCACAGACCCCGGCCGAGATCAGGGCCCCGTCGCGCCGGGCGCCGCCCAGACCCCGGCCGAGATCAGGGCCCCCATAGCGCTAGGTTCTGTAACATGCAGAGTCCAAAGAGATGGCGTTCTACAGACAAGGCAACGGGCAGGCGGGGGAATGACCCTGCCCCCACAGCTGAGGTGCAGAAGTGGGAGTAACCCTGCGCTCTGAGGATCCCAGCGCACAGCCCTACCCCCCAGCCCGTGCTGCTCGCGGTTTGGCACACACTGGGGGCACTGGGCGGGAGTGGGCGTAGCAGGCATGGCTACGGTGACCAGACAGCAAGTGTCAACAATCAGGACAGGGGGTGAGGGGTAATAGGAGCCTATATAAGAAAAAGACCCAATATCGGGACTGTCCCTATAAAATCGGGACATCTGGTCACCCTAGGCATAGCAAGAGGACCCCAGGTCTCTTAGCAGGGTGCCTTGCTGTAGCGTAGGCAAAGCCGGATTGTGGGGGTGTTTCTTCCCTCTCCCTTAGGTCACCCGGCAAGAGGACATGGAGGGACACACGGCAGAGGGGCTGGTGAAGGGACACGCCTACTCCATAACGGCTTTTCGCAAGGTGGGCCCGTAGCTACCCCTGCTTCCACTGGCTGAGGAAGCGCAGAGCGCCGGGCGGCGCTCCGGGATTCTGGGGGCAGACACATAGCCGGGTTAGCTCTGTGACGTGTATCGCAGGAGGCCTCCAGCGAGATCAGAGCCCCATCGTGCCAGGCGCAGCACAGACAATCCCTGCCCCAAATGGGGATCCAGTGCAAACCAGGGAGCCGGCCACCCCCAGCCCGCAGCAGGCGATCAGGCGGCGCCAGGGGGAGATGTCCCTGGGGAGCACCTCGCCTGCATGTGGATTTGCACGTCACATGACAGTGGTGAGAGCCAACGGGCTGGAGGGGGAGCTGGGCCCAGCCTGCAGGACACGACCTGCCGCTGCAGGGTGGGTTTGCTAACTGCCCCCCGTCAGGGCATCCCACCCCCACCCCCGCGACAGGCTGTCAGGACTCAATCCCCTCCCCCCACCCCATATTGTCTCCCTCTGCTACCTTCTAGTTGCCCATTGCTGAGCTAAATAGCCCATGAAAGGGTTATTATTCCCATTATGCAAATGGGGAAACCGAGGCCAGAGGAGCTCTATCCTTTGATAATTAGCACATCACTGTAGCACCTGGGAGCCTATCACAGACCACAGCCCCACAGCGCTAGGCGCTGTACAAA